ACGCGACGGGAAAGCAAGGAAAATGGGCGGAGAGTACGGCTCGCCCGCCGTGGAAATCTAATGACTACGCTATCTATGTGCATATTTCTTACATAATTACCCGCGTAAAGTACACTCCTCGAAACTCCCCCAGCTGTACTCCAACAGCTTGCGTTTATACCAGTCAGACTGAGATATTTATGCGCATTAATCTTGCCTTTTCATCGGATTTCATTAACGCAGTCGCTACTCGGCCGGTGATAACGCCGCCGCCACTCCTCTCCTACCTCCGATTAACTTACACGCCCGCTACAAGGGAAGCTTGTGCCGATTTTCGAATTATCACACACACAGGTTGGGTTCATTGGAACGGATAAACGTTCGATAAACGTCGCTCCTTCGATTCTCCTCCATTCGTTTATCTTTACGTTCTAATTATACATCCGTTACGAGATCCATCACCCCTCCCGAATGACGCGTCAAATTTCTGGACGCGATCCTGTTCGGGGCGACTCGCGCCTCTTCTTTGCGTGCTTTGGCGTACAATTATCGGAAGGGGGGGGGGGGGGCAACGAAGCGAATCGAGTAATTCGCAGAAATTCGATTTGACGCGAAACGGATATAACGAATCTGCCAACTGTTCGGCAGACCACTTCTCGCACTTATCGAACTTTGCTTAACGGCGCAATTCATCGAATAATTAGCGCTCGCTCGAATGCGGCGCGGCGATCCCTCGTTTAATCCCTTCCCTCCCCCTCTAACCTCCTTTCCATCGGATCTCTGCTTTCTGCGATCTTCGAGATCGATGTCCGTTTCGCGGGATCGCTTCGACGTGGGTGATTTAACGACACGCGAGGGCAACGCATCCCTCCCTCGGTCGGCAGGAATCTAATTTATTTCCTCTTCTTTGTGGCGAAGAGAAGACGAAGAGGAGACGAGAAGAGAGAGAGAGAGAGAGAGAGGGAGAGTCGCGGTTTTCAAAGCGAAAAAGCTTTCCAATCTCTGGAGGCAAAGGAGGTCGGGCAAACAAGGGATTTGCCGCGATGGATGGAAACGCGGATGGAATCGGGCGGGGGACAGGGATGACCGTCCGTCCATACCCTATATACTTGTTTTCGACTCGTACCCCAGCCGTCTGGGGAATCTCTTTGACCGCCGGATCGCCGTGTTTCGTTCGATACGCTCCGTTTGATACGCGCGCGGACCCGGCCGGAATCGCGGCACGCCCGCAGGCGCTACCACCGACCGACGCACACCGACTAAATAATGGTGCCCACATCCGCCCCCTCCCCCAGACTCGACCACCCGAGGAAGGAAAAAAAAGGAAAGAAAGAAAGAAAAATCCTCTCCTTTCGCTCTTTCTCCGCGCGTTCTCTCCCACGCGTTCTCCCCCCTCTCGCGCGCTTCTAAATTGGGAAAAGGCCGATTCCTTCCTTTCCCTCTTTCCTCGTCGTCCTCCTCAAGTTCCATTCCAGAGTTTGTTTGAAACGCCTCGGTTTCTCGCCAACCGGTTTCTCCGCCTCTCAGGAATTACGCCTGTGAAAAAGTCGATATCGAGTGGCATGCTCGCTACTTAATTTTCCTCGGATTACCAGTTATAGGTTATTACCGTATTTTTCTCATCTGGCTCGCACTCGCTTGTTCCGACTTTACTACGGGTCTGTCTTAATTCGATAAATTTCAGGATATCGTTTTACACACGTATACACGTGTTTATACATACATATTGCGCGTACTTGGTCACGGTTTACTACAATTTTCCTTTACCAAGTTTCAACGTTACGTTACGTTATCGCTTCGGGAATCTTTCTCACCGAGCAACACCTCGTTTACCATTTTTCTTCTTCCTCGAAAACTTTCGAAATCGCTCTGAGATAGATATCGATCGATCCTTCCATCTCTCGAAATCGAATACATATCTCGATGTAGGTAGGAGATGTACGCGCGTGTGACAATTTCGTTGCCACGCGTTACTCGTCGTCGTGAGATGGCGGAGAACGGAGGAGTAACACGGAGGAAAGAATGAAAATCGGGATGGACGGCCTCGCCAAATTTTTCGACGTCCCTCTAATCTCGTTCACGAATTTCAACGAGGGTCGTTCCGCGCGTCCATTACGAGGATCCCAGCCGGGGATATATTATGCACCGCGGCCTCGATCGCGACCCCTTGGACGCGATATTAGGCGTTTGCAATTTGCAATTCGTGCTACCTCGAAGCCGCTTTTGATCCTCTCCTCCGCCTCGAAGTGGCGTCCCACGGGTGGGACCGTGCCACCCCTCTCCCCCCGTTTCCAAGTCCCGCGGGGATGGATGTTCATCGGGGCGAAAGGCGAAAGGGGTGTGCTGGTTAACTTTGACCGCGAACCGTGGTGGAAGGAAGCTGTGGAGGGATGCGACACGGACGAGAGAGAGAGAGAGAGAGAGAGGAGTATTAGTGGTAGTACTA